TACATAGACATGCAGAGACATCGAGACACAGAGACATACAGAGACATAAGCTGTCTACTGGTATGAAACTATGTCCAACACAAGTGACAGCTCAGTTTCAGAATAAATCCCATTTCATTTGTTGTTTACGTTCATATGATGGATCACGTGTCAGTTAAAACAGTAGTTGTGAAGATGAACACAAGGTGTACTTTAGTAATTATCTTGTCTTTAACGCAAAGGCTGAGAATCCACTTTGAAGTGGACCGCTATCTGCTTGTAGTTTTGGGCCAACTGTTTATCAGAGTAAAAGCAGAAACCCCTCCATTGTTAGCTCAGCTGCCCGACACGAGCAGCTCTAACTCTGAACCTGTTGCGTTCAGAGTTAAAAGCAGCAGTTTTGAACCTTCGGCTAACAGCTAGCAGCTAACAGCTAGCAGCTGACAGCTAGCATTAGTTCTCCGCCGAGTTTACTTTTCTTACCTTTTTCCTGGTTAAAAGAAATTATCTCCTCCTCCTTGGGGTTTGAAACTTGGGTTATTATGGACATGTGGTCCATCGAGACTCCTGGTTGTTCCCGTTTTATCTGTAGGAACGCGCTTGCTTCGGTTGCTAGCGGTCTGAAGCGGAGCAGCTTGGCCACACAGCCAGGAAACTGTCCGGGGAGACGGGTCGCGGCAGCGGGGCAAGCAGCCAGCTAGCACGGCGGTGAATGGAGGCCAGGGGCGGGCTGTCATCTACGGCTTTCCTAAAAATATCATCGCTGCCAACAAGTGTTCGCGGGCAACTTCCGGAACGCTCCGGTTTTAAAAACAAAGCCCAGCAGCGTTAACGCTCACTAAAGTTCAGATTAGCCTGTTAGCTCCGCAGCAGGCCGCCGCCTCCCGAGCCACGCCGGAAACTGTCGGAAGCCCTTCGGAGGATCGTTGGCGTCCAGAACCGTGCATTCAGTGCACGCAAGTTGCTCGACGTCCGGGCAGGCATGCGCTTTCAGGAGACGTTTCACATCTGCTGGCCCCGACAGCCCCTGTGCAACATGGAGGCTTTCTGTGTTTTGCGCTCCATCTGAAGCGGGGGCGTTGGGAGTGGGAGGGGGCGGACGGTTTCCCTCAAACTCCCCGCACACATTATTACACAACCCCGCCGAGCAGCTGGCTGCGCCTCCGAGCAACACTTCAAACACGTAGAAACTAGAGAAACAACACGATCAGTTTGACTGTATGAAATATGCACGAGCTGCGCGGTGAAACAGCTAAAGCAGCTAAAGCAGCTGTTTTTAACCTCGGAGCGCCTTCAGGGACTTTTCTTTACAGGCCTGGAGCGCCCCCTGGTGTCCAAACGAGGAATAACAAGCTCCAGAGACAATGAACCCTTAACTGGTTTTAAAATTACATAATCAGAAGATGATGCTCAAATAACATCTTGTTTTTTTTTTACATAAACTTTATTTAAAGATCGTACATATACTGCATTACAATTTATAACAGTTCATCTGAAAACAACAACAAATACTCATATATTCAAGAAAATGTTAAAAGTTAATTTTCTGAAGGAATATGGAAAAGCATAATGCGCATCTATACAAATTTTGTTTGAATTGATATTTTTATTTAGCTTTGTTTTTGCGTAAATTACTTTTGTTTGAATATATTCTGAGCAAAAAGGGGCAGATAGAAGATTTATTCTTCTTCTACTGCCTTTCATTTTATTTTTGATTGTAGACATATTTTTTGTTTTCTATTGTATATAGTTATTTTGTTTTTAATTAAATTAATAAATTTGTAAATAAAAATAAATAAATAAA